TTTCTCTTTGTCTCTTTGAATTTTTGGCATTTTAATTATGATGTATCTGGATGTGGGCCTCTTTGGGTTCTTCTTGCTTGAGATTCTCTGTGGTTCCCGAACTTGTGTGACTTTTGCTTGAACAGGTTAGGGAAGTTTTCTGCCATCATTTCTTCAAACAGGTTCTCTAACCCTTACTTACTTTCTACACTTTCTGGTACTTCTCTGATGCAAATATTGTTACATTTCATGTTGTCCCACAGCTCCCTTAAACTATCCTCCTGTTTTTTAATTGTTTTTTCTTTTTGGTTCTCTGATTAAGTGGTTTTTTTCTACCATCTTCTAATTTGCTGATCCGATCCTCAGCTTCCCCTAATCTGCTGTTTATTCCTTCCAGCGTGTGTGTGTTTCTAGTATGTCATTCTTCATTTCCTTCATAGTTTCTATTTCTTTTCCATGCTATTGAGCATCCTATGATTAGAGTATCAGATTCTGAACTCTATATCTGATAGATTCCTGCCTCCATTTCATATAGCTCTTCTTCTGGAGAATTCTTTTGTTCTTTCATTCAGGGCTTGTGTGGGTTTTTTTCCTCTCCATTTTTGCTGCCTGTTTGGATTTATTTCTATGTATTAGGTAGATCTGCTAAAACTCCCAGTCCTTTGGATGGTCTCTGGTGCAGGCCAATGTTAGAGGCTGTTTGTGACTGGCCTTTAGTACCCTGTTTGAAACTTTCCACACTCCACAGCTTGTGACTCCCTCTACTGGGGCTGGGTGGATTTGGAAAGGACCAAGATACCCACCCAGGTCTGCTTTCCCAAGCCCTGGGTCCAGAAGCAAATCAGGCAAAGACTCAAAGCACCCAGAGTCTGATTGTTATTCAATCTCTTAATGAGCCTGAGGCTGTAGAAACTCCACGGAGTGCGGTGAGAGGTTTTCCAACAGAGTGGGGAAATTGCTTCCCCCCAGGCAAAAGCTACTTGGATGTCTGCCTGAGAAAGATGTCCTCTGCCATATGGGGGAATGGCTCAGCACAGGAATCCAGATGGCTGCCCTCTGAGCTCTATCCCCAGAGGCAGCATCTCTTTATTCTCCCCACACAGCTCTAGTCCAGTCTGAGCTCCCTCTGCCAGAGCCCAAGGTGAGTGGCTGCACATGAAACTTTGTGCATTGGCCCTTTAAGAGGGTGCTTGCATTTCCAGCCCTCTCTCTCTGGCAGACAGAAACTCGGCTGCTTTTCACAGCCAGATGTTATGTGGGCTTTCTCAGTTCTGGTGCTCTGGACTGGGAAGATCAGCTTTGGGTTTTGGCCCCAAAATTCTCAGTGGGAACCCCCCACAGCTGAAATACACCTCCGGACCTTCAGCTGTTGCCTGTGGGGGCCCAACCAACCTTCTTGTGCCTTCCTACCAGTCTCTATGTGGTCACCACTTTTCATCCTTGGTTATGAGGGTGCTCCCCAGCTAGTCTTTCATTGCAGTTGATTATTCAGGATGGTTTTTCTATATTTTAGTTGTAATTCCAGTTTGGAATTACAGTGTAGCTTCCACTCAATCCACCATCATCTTGGAATCCTTTTTTTTTTTTTTTTTTTATTTGTAATGAAAGCAACTTGTAGAAAAAGAATGTGGAAGAAACACCCATTCACATCCTTCTTGACACTGAAAACTATCTTCTTTGTTTGAAAGAAACTCAAGCTAAATGCAAAATAAAAATCATTGAAGTTACCTAGTGTGCATCCTTTTAAAAATATTTGATACTGTACTCAGTAAATAGGAGAGCAAATCTCATTGGCTCATATGATAGCAAATCTGGGCTCTGTCAGCCCATCATCTTACTGTTTTAGTGATTCTGCTAAACCTCAGGGTGACATAACATGACTGCCTTCTGAGTGTCTGAGGACACAAAATAACACTGTGCATCCAGAGAACTCTTCGTTAAAAAAAATGTTAATATCATTTTTTAACTTCATCAACACTGAAAATGTATTCTACATACATGTCAATGGAATCCTTGCTGCTGTTTATACTGTTTTCCCCCACAAAATGTCCAACTTTATTCAGTTTATCATGAACACATGTGCACCCAACAATATGGCCTCAGAGCATGTAAGATAACTGCTACATGGAGAAAAACATTTATCAAGAATTATTTTTAGAGAATAAATGCACCCTTCTCAAATCATCGGCTTCTGGTATCACTTCCTCATTGTGTGGTTCCAAATTACCCTAGTGAAAGAACGCACCTAATGGCAGCCGGGGCAGGAGAGTTTTACCCTGAGTGCTGACCATAGGAAAGCCTTTCCTACAGTGTGTGACTCCAGAATAGAAAGGGGTCTGTGGGCTGCACCCAGAAGTGACCTACAGGGACCCTCTGCTTTCCTGTAAGGCAATGTACAGAGCCGCAGAAAGCATTTGAACTGTGTGATGTGGGGAAGGGGAAGAGAGCCCTCTCCCTGGCAGAGAGGAACCCGAGCTGGGCAATTTGGGGTACTCCTGCCAGCAGAGACAGAGACCGGAGCTGCCAGCGGGGCTGATTGGGGACCCCGGCCAGAGAGAGGAATACTCATATGTGGAATCTGAGAGAATAGATTGACAAACAAGACAGGACCACAGACATGGAAGCATGGAACAGACCAACGAATCTCAGAGCAAAGGAAGGGAGG